TTTCGTTGAAGAATTGGCGTTTAAACCAATCAATTGCCAAATTTCGGTTGTCAAGACTAACCAAAATTTGGTTGATTTTGTCTTTGTGTTCTTCAAGATATATGTTCCAGTAATGTTTCCTCCGACTGTGCCCAACGCTTTATTTAAATCTTTGCGTTTTTTAAATGGAATGTTTTTTTTCGAATATATTTTGTTGATTGAAACTTCTCCTTCAAAAACTTTAGCAATTTTTGCGTCTACTTAATCTACTAGTTCGATTATTTTTGGCACTTGTTATTTTTCTTTGTATATTTGCTCATTTATAAGTTTTGAGTCGAGTGCTATTTCGATTGTTTTGTCCTTTTTGCAGGTTATCACAAAAGGACTTTTGAAATGGTCTTCATCACAGTTTTCTCATTTCTCAATTATTCTTTCGGATATCAGTCTTTGTATTACTGTTTTCACAGCCGGAAGTAAGATCAATGGAACTCTTCTCGCCTTTAGCTGTATCGGTCTTAAGGGGCTGTGAAAATGTGTTATCATTGATTTGTTATTCATTTTAGCGATTATTTTGAATAGTGTTTTGTATTTATGTCCCATACTGTTTACATCTTGGTCTACTTTTTCTACATTATTTACAAGGAAGTTTGACTACTCCTTCTGGTTATCGTTTCTGATTTCAGAAGAGGAAAAACCATGTGTGTGACTTCTACGCCCATCTTTGGGAGATTGTCGTTTCCTAGGATATTCCGTTCGTTCTCCTCCGTTATAAAAGAGATGCTTGTTTTTGTGCCCATCCATTGGATTTTATCGGAAGTATTATTTTTCTAATTATTTTTATCGGGTCTTCTGTGAAGCTGCAGTATAGATCTTTCGTTGCTTGTTCTTCTGCAAAAAATTTTAAAGAAAGGATCTCTTAGTTTCACTTCATGGTTGACATTTTTCTTTAGAAAACTAACCGGGCTAGCCGAGCCGACTTGAATAAACATTTGTAAAAGGATCGCTTTTCCTAAGCCAATGTTCAACAACTTCTTCAGTTCTTTTCTGTCGGAATTGAAAATCGTTTACATTCAAAACTGAGTAGTCGTCATTGTCGCTTAACCCAGCTTCTGTCAATTCGTTGGCTACATCGCAAAGTTCTTTTTGATTTTTTACAGATACACAGGTTGCTGAAATTGAGAATGTGCATCATTATTTACAGAATGAAGTTTATCGATAACTTTCATGTTTTTCTTTCGGATTTGTAACTCTTTGCAAAATGGACTTCAAAATTACAAGCTGTACAATGTGCGTCTACTGCTGAAATATTTCATAAACAAGTTTTCAGTTTCTATGTGTAGAACTGGTTCTCTTTTGGCATTTGCATTCCTTTGGAAATTTGAGTGTGTTGCTGGGTTTTCGTAGCGTTAGGCATTTTGAGATGTTTAGCTATGCCTTTCTCGTCTACTAGTGCCAAGGTCAATGCGTCTTGTGGAGTGAATGTCTCAGTTAACAGTTTCCTTTGGATATCGTAATTTCTCATGTTATTGATAAATATGTACCGAATCCTTTCTTTTTCTCCGCTGAAGATATCAAATTTTTGACAGTTTCTGCTAGAACACCCCAGATTTTTTATATACTCTCACGGTCTTCTTGTACTCCGTTTAACATTTTTTGACGCTCAAAAGTGATGTTCGGTTTTCTGATGAAAGCGAGGGTCAAGTATTTCCAAAACTCTTGGAAGTTAATCCGTAGGATTTTCACTTTGGTGAATTTTGGGGCAAAAATTCGTTTTACCTGCTTTCCCAAGGCTGGAATTAACATGGATCTAATTTTCTTATCCGCTTCTCTTGTCTCAACCCGTCATACGTTTCTTAAATTCTGACTTGATTGATGTCCCTTCTTCGTCTTCGTATCTTTGTTTTTCTTCGAGGTTTCTGGCTAGTCTTGCTGCCTTGTCTTGTCCGTTTTCTGAGTCTGGGGTTTCTTCGAAGGTAGCTGGAGTTGCTATTCTCCGATCCGAAGGATTGATAAGGTTATCAATATCTACGTTTTCCTTGGCTATCAGTGCCAATTGAAACATGTCACTCCCCTCGTCTCATGGAATAGGGGGGTCGATCGTGTGATTTTGCCACGGTGCAAGTATTCCCCTCATGCCATATTCCTAAGATGACTGCGCCATATTTAAATGTTTAAATAGTATACCCCCTAAAAACGCTAACTAAAATAACTAAGTTAAAAAAATACGTATGAAAAACTGTTTAAAAGTTTTCAAGCTCTCTCTAAAATTCGAACAATGAAGCGTACACAGCTTCACTCCGAAACCGTGTACGCTTTTCACAGACATGGTTCAAGATCAAGGTCAGATATAACTCAACAATAATTAATTAATTTCATTGGCAATCAGAACAGCCGCCAAAGCCGCCTTTAGAAAAAATTTTAGGGACATTCGGCCAGAAATGGATTTCTTAAAAAATACCCAAAGGGGGTCACTTTGGGTCGTTGGGGGTCGAATCACTGAGGAAGAAAAGCGTCAGCCCATACGCCCCCACCTAAATCTGCCCCTGAGTAGTAAATCATGAATACTATATTGAGCTAGTGTGTGTTACATATGTCAGAAAGAGATTTTTGAGACTCGGTCGTCGTCCAAAAGTTGTTTCACTTGAATTTGATAAGAAAATTTTACAGCTTTTTTAAAGGTACCCTCGGAGTGCATAGACAACATCAACGCCAACATCCTCGACTGCGTTCTGCCGGAGAGTAGCGACTGGACGGTGAAGGAGGGGGAGGGGACAGCAGAGTACCTGTGGAAGTTCGAGGAGCGACTCTGGGTGTCACACAGCTGCAAAGACTGGACAGTAGAGGACACTATGCTGGAAAAGGGAAGATAAAAAGGACGCACAGGGGCCATACAAAAATTCATAGAAAAAAACCACAAGAAATTATGGTGTTATAAAAATTGATTAAAAAATAAGGCGTTAAAAAGTAGAAAAGACCCTCTGGGTTATCGAAATCTTTTTTTTTCTTCAAAAAAGTCATGAATTAGAAAGAAAATGTTGTGAAAATTAAATGACCAAGAAAAAGCAGTTTATTATGAACATAAGGTTATGAGCAGTGTTACATATGTTCGAAAGAAAATTTTGAGAGTCAATAGCGTTAAAATTAATTCATCTAATTATGACATGAAACAAGTGCCGCTTCCTTAATTGAGTCAAAATTTAAAAAAGCCATCAACTCAACCCAGTCACAATTAAGAAACGCCATGAAATACCCGAATTGTGCATTAACATTGATCAGACTTTTTGTACCATTGAAGAAAACTTTTTCTCTTTTTATTTGATTCCATGGATTTGAGAAAAGATGGACTGATTTGCAAAAAAAGTTCCACACACTTGACTGAAATTAAATCTTTGAAAAAGTATGGCTTCTGAAAAATATCCTTTATTTAGGGACACGCTGTTCTTTGTGCTGTTCTGCACAGTATGATAGAGGAGAACTACCACCCAGTCATCGCACTGAATTTACCGCCCAGTGGCACTGCCGAACCCAATGAGACAAAGGACAAGGGATCGAACCCCGTCAGAGCCATTTGCACTTTCTTTTTCGCCAAAGACGAGCCGCATTATAACTCAAAAATATATCCAGAAAAAGACCCAAACGATGACTTGTCTGCTTTTACTTCAAATATAAATACGAGTTTGTTAAGTTAATGCTGTTGAAATATTTGTTGAAAAATGATACCAAATAAACCAAATTGAGCAGGTAAAACCATGACAACCAAACAACCAAAAATTTTGTTTTGACCACAAACTTTGGATAGAAAATTTGTGTTTTAAATAAATAGCAGATTAGGTCGAGTGATATGTTAAACCCCCCCCCCCCCCCGAAAAGTTTCCCAGTGTCGAGAAAAAACCGTTTGAGATTTAGATTTTGAGTAGTTAAAAGCGAAAAGTAAACAAGACTGCTCGTATCAGGGCGAAGCCCTGAATGTTCCGACTGCCTATTAAGGTTTATGGAGCAGTAATAACATTAAAAAATTAAAAGTAATAAAACAAAATGAAATTTTTTTTTAAATTTTAAATTTTTTTAAAATAAAAATCATCCCCCCACACGCCATATAAAGTACAAAAGGATAAATTTCGCTACTTGTAACAAATCAACTATGGCAAATAAGCTTCGTTAAACCAATTTGGAACGATTTCTAATGCGGATTAACTCTCCGCTTACGCGTTAATAGCGCGAAATATATCGCGCGTTAATTGTCCCAAATTGACCAAAATGGCAATCTTTAAACCCCCATAACTTTACGAAAAAAGATCACAAGTGAAATATCTTTTCAAATTTGAGCTCAGGACAACAATACCTTTCGAATGATATGAAAAAATTCCGTCAAAAATGGCTAGTTAAAAAGTCGAAATTTGTCTGAAGAAAAAAAAAACCCACCCCGAGCACAAATATTCCGTTACTTTCGTATCGAAAGTCGGAACAAATATTTGTGTAGGATAAAAGCTTGTAGTTCAAAAATAGTTGGAAACAATTCAAAACAGGGGAGCTCGGTTTTGAGGTGAACTGATTTGTTTTAATCATTACTGCACATTACGTGATGATATTTGGGCTAAAATTTATCTGGCACGTTTTTCCAGGTTCCGACTTCAGGATTTTTCTTGTTTATGTTCCGACCATTGACAGAGGGGAGGAATTTTGTATTCGGATGTTATCCTTGTATAGTTTATGAGAATTTTAAAAACTGTTTCAACTGCTAGCAAGTGGCAATTTTTCTTTCATATTCGGTCGTAAAGGGAGTACAATGATTCAAATTTCTGAATTCCAGTGTTGAATAGCTCCCAATTTTCATATCGATGTGACGTCTGTATACATCATTCAGCAGTATAAGTGAGCCATTGTTGATTGAAAAAAGAGCTAAAAATAGTGAATATTGAATTTATAATATTGAATTTTATAGTATTGAATTAGCATTTTTGTTTTGAGGATTTGCCAGTCCTGTTGTTTATTTTTATCCTGTCTTTCCTCTGAATCATTGCTGTAACGACTTTAAGCAACTCTTTGGCTATGCGCAGTCACTGCTCATTTATCTTGTTATTGTAGTTATTTTTTTACAGTAACATCAGCAGAGCTGATGGTCGTTTTTTATTCATTTGTGCTTCAATTAAGTTTTAATACTAACAATTCTAACGTTCTGCTGTAACATCTAGACTAGACGCATTCATTCTAATTTGTTCACGCTTAGATTATTTTATTTTCACAACATGAAACCAAATTTATCAACGATCGTCTTTTCGTTACTTTTTTGGGGGTAAAATGCTCAATGGATCGAACATCGGATAATGATTCCACAGTAACGATGACTTAGAAAACAAGATGACTTAAATTATTGCTTTTAAAATTTCAAACATCGATACTCTATCGAAATTTACTGCGTAGCTAAAATCAGAAGAAAAAAATTTCACAATTGTGGGTTTCTAATTTACTCAGTTATCAGAATCAAAGCTTATATAGTCAAAAACATGAGCGAATTTGAGGAACGTGTGGTTCCCCGGGGATTCGAACCTCTGACCGCTTTCCGTTTTGCCTCTTGTGCCAAGCATGACTAAATTTGAAGTGCACATAAGACTGGCAAAGGTATGGCAAAAGTATTTTGGAAACTTATTGCGGCCGACCTCTAAAAAGGTAGTTAAGTTTCCGAAAAAAACTTTCAAATTCTACACCTCCCCTGAAAATCCAAGGCCCCTCCCCTGGTCGAAAAAAAGTTAAATCTGCAGCTAAAAACTCTAGCGTACACGTGCAACCATACAAGTAGCCATTATATGGAACCACAATGCTATAATGCTTTAATTTCTGTAGGACCATGCAGGGGCGGATCTAGGATTTTCTCGAAGGGGGGGGGGGGGCGGATTTTCAAAAACATTTCGAAAATTTTGTTGTCTTTTTTTTTAAGTCGACCGAATTGATTTTTTGAGCTCTCCCTAAGCAGCTTTAGTCCCTGTTTTGGCAAAATTTTCTGCGCCGCTTGCCGACCCCTTTGGGTCGGCAAGGGGTCTAATACCTGAGAGAAGAGCGTCCCCCCCTCCGCCCCCCCCCTAAATCCGCTCCTGGGTCCATGCCTTATTTAGAACCATACACGGGCTTTGAATTAATTGGGATAATTTTTTTCTTCACTTTTCTTGATACTTGACTCGGTTGAATAGACGTTCGATCCATTGAACTTGTAGATTCATTATCGCATCATGGCACGTGCCTGAAGTATCGTCGACCATTCATGTCTTATTCGTCATGCCCTGTTGGGGGGCTCATTTCGGAGTCATGGCCAACCAACTATTCGCTATTTGTCGCATTCATAAATGCACAATCTTAGAAATTTCCAAGTTATGTGAAAAAAAGTTGAAACCATTTCGGGAAATAGTTCATTTCGACGTCCTAAAACGACATGGTTTAGGTCAGGAAGTCTCGTACGTCAAACACATTGAGTTTCTTCGACAGTTTTGTCCCATCACTTTAGCGAGAAATGAGTTTTGTTACGAAGTTTTATCTGAAATATTATCAGATAGCAAGAACAAATTTGACCTTATGATGGTCGATCATATATATCCCGGTGCTATGGTAGCTGCTGAAAAATTTGACCTTCCAGTTATTGTACAGACCGTCGCAATGTCCGGAGGCGTCGAGCACATTCAAGACAAAATACCTATTAGTTTTCTCGACACTCTCAAGTTCAAATACTTTTACACTCCATGTTGGAACTGGATCGACGAAAAACGCCAGGAGCTACGGCTTCCGGAGCTTGATTGGCAAGGACGCTTTACATACCAGGAATACCCGATTCGGTTTCCAATGTTGCTGATAACTTCGCCCAGTTTTTTCCCGGAGCCCCACCCAAGCGCAGAGTATATCTACATAGGGGGGATTCGGGATGAGTCCTTGACTGAAAAATTGGGATCCAAAATTAGCTCCTGGATCGAGACAGATGAAAGAGATATCATCTACGTGTCTCTAGGAACTATTTCAGCTCTAACAAAAGAAGATTTTGCTGACTTCCGAGAAAAAGTTTTGAAACAAAATCAGTTTAGAGTGATTTGGTCTCTAAGTATTGGTTTGCAAAACGTGGCTAAAGAAATGAAAGTCTTCCAAGAAGAAAACGAAGTTCTCTATCTCAGTGACTATTTGCCCCAGTACGCTCTTTTAGGTCGTTCAAAGGTCAAATATTTCGTCACTCATTGTGGAATAGGCTCTTTAACAGATCTGATTGAAAAGAAGGTCATTCCGATTTGCATTCCACAATTTGGCGACCAATTTGTCAACACGCACTTGATTGAAAAAATGTCATTGGGTGGATCCATCGACGCATTTGATTGGTCAGAAATTGTGCAATCAGTGCTTACAATTGAGAAAAACAGAAGCGTATTTTCTGAAAATTTAGCCAAGGTATCGAATGAGTTTTCAGTTTTGGAAAGTGAAGAAAAACTTGTTCAGTTCATGGAACGAATTGCCACGAGGAAAAACATAACAATTCAGTTAGATCTTAAGTTTGAATCAAATAGTCCGAGATTTCATTTCATGATGAATATTTCGTACTACTCGATTTTGATTGCAGCAGCTGTTCTTGTTGTTTGGTTTGTTCACATGCTGATGAAATCACTCAGGAACTTGGGCGACACGAAAGCTAACGAAATTGATAAGAAAAAGCATAAATAATTTACTGAGTGTAATTTTTGCAGAACTAACCAAATTATTCAAATGATAAGATAACTTACATATTTTTATTCTTTTATTAAATAAATTCATTGAGTTTTTACAATTTCAATTCTTTTTTTTTACACAATTTAGACCCTGTTAATGTTCTTGAAGTGGTCTGCTCACAGTTAAACAAACAGGTTCTGAATTGCTTAAATTACGGAATCACCTGTTTGTCTCTTTTCAGATAGATATGTTATGTGACGTCACGAACACATAATGACATTCACAAATGAGGTCTACATATACAAGTAGTATTCCACCTTCTGGTGCTTTAACCCCAGAACAAACTTGTTCAGTTCACCACATCAGATACTTTATAAATCGATATTACAGTGCCGAAGTACAACAGTGCCGAAAATGAAAACTTTATTCAACAGTGCCGAAAAGGAAAATTTTGTTGGGGCAGTACAACAGTGCCGAAGTAAAACAGAGCCAAAAATGAAAACTTTGTACAACAGTGCCGAGAATGAAAACTTTGTACAACAGTGCCGAAAATGAAAACTTTGTACAACAGTATCGAAAATGAAAACTTTGTACAACAGTGCCGAAAATGAAAACTTTGTACAACAGTGCCGAAAATGAAAACTTTGTACAACACATGCCGAAAATGAAAACTTTGTAAAAACAGTGCCGAAAATGAAAACTTTGTACAAGAGTGCCGAAAATGAAAACTTTGTACAACAGTGCCGAAAATGAAAACTTTGTACAACAGTGCCGAAAATGAAAACTTTGTACAACAGTGCCGAAAATGAAAACTTTGTACAACAGTATCGAAAATGAAAACTTTGTACAACAGTGCCGAAAATGAAAACTTTGTACAACAGTGCCGAAAATGAAAACTTTGTACAACACATGCCGAAAATGAAAACTTTGTAAAATCAGTGCCGAAAATGAAAACTTTGTACAAGAGTGCCGAAAACGAAAACTTTGTACAACAGTGCCGAAAATGAAAACTTTGTACAACAGTGCCGAAAATGAAAACTTTGTACAACAGTGCCGAAAATGAAAATTTTGTACAACAGTGCCGAAAATGAAAACTCTGTACAACAGTGCCGAAAATGAAAACTTTGTACAACAATGCCGAAAATGAAAACTTTGTACAACAGTGCCGAAAATGAAAACTTTGTGCAACAGTGCCGAAAATGAAAACTTTGTACAACAGTGCCGAAAATGAAAACTTTGTACAACAGTGCCGAAAATAAAAACTTTGTACAAGAGTGCCGAAAATGAAAACTTTGTACAAGAGTGCCGAAAATGAAAACTTTGTACAACAGTGCCGAAAATGAAAACTTTGTACAAGAGTGCCGAAAATGAAAACTTTGTACAACAGTGCCAAAAATGAAAAGTTTGTACAACAGTGAAGAAAATGAAAACTTTGTACAAGAGTGCCGAAAATGAAAACTTTGTACAACAGTGCCGAAAATGAAAACTTTGTACAACAGTGCCGAAAATGAAAACTTTGTACAACAGTGCCGAAAATGAAAACTTTGTACAACAGTGACGAAAATGAAAACTTTGTACAAGAGTGCCGAAAATGAAAATTTTGTACAACAGTGCCAAAAATGAAAACTTTGTACAAGAGTGCCGAAAATGAAAACTTTGTACAACAGTGCCGAAAATGAAAACTTTGTACAACAGTGCCGAAAGTGAAAACTTTGTACAACAGTGCCGAAAATGAAAACTTTGTACAAGAGTGCCGAAAATGAAATTTTTTACAACAGTGCCGAAAAGGAAAACTTTGTACAAGAGTGCCGAAAATGAAAACTTTGTACAACAGTGCCGAAAATGAAAACTTTGTACAACAGTGAAGAAAATGAAAACTTTGTACAAAAGTGCCGAAAATGAAAATTTTGTACAACAGTGCCGAAAATGAAAACTTTGTACAACAGTGCCGAAAATGAAAACTTTGTACAACAGTGCCGAAAATGAAAACTTTGTAAAAGAGTGCCGAAAATGAAAACTTTGTACAACAGTGCCGAAAATGAAAACTTTGGTCAACAGTGCCGAAAATGAAAACTTTGTACAAGAGTGCCGAAAATGAAAATTTTGTACAACAGTGCCGAAAATGAAAATTTTGTACAACAGTGCCGAAAGTGAAAACTTTGTACAACAGTGCCGAAAATGAAAACTTTGTACAACAGGGAAGAAAATGAAAACTTTGTACAAGAGTGCTGGAAAAGAAAACTTTGTACAACAGTGCCGAAAATGAAAACTTTGTACAACAGTGCCGAAAATGAAAACTTTGTACAGCAGTGCCGAAAATGAAAACTTTGTACCAGAGTTCCGAAAATGAAAAATTTGTACAACAGTGCCTAAAATGAAAACTTCGTACAACAGTGCCGAAAATGAAAACTCTGTACAAGAGTGCCGAAAATGAAAACTTTGTACAACAGTGCCGAAAATGAAAAATTTGTACAACAGTGAAGAAAATGAAAACTTTGTACAAGAGTGCCGAAAATGAAAACTTTGTACAACAGTGCCGAAAATGAAAACTTCGTACAACAGTGCCGAAAATGAAAACTTTGTACAACAGTGCCGAAAATGAAAACTTTGTACAAGAGTGCCGAAAATGAAAACTTTGTACAACAGTGCCGAAAATGAAAACTTTGTACAACAGTGCCGAAAATGAAAACTTTGTACAACAGTGCCGAAAATGAAAACTTTGTACAAGAGTGCCGGAAATGAAAACTTTGTTCAACAGTGCCGAATATTTGAACAAATTTCAACATATTAAGTGCGGCAATCAAAAATTAAACAGCGATCGTTTACAACCTTAAGTAAAAATTTTGAATTTTGAGTAAGAAATTTTGCAATTCAGACGTTTTGGCGCCAAAATAATTGTTTAATTTGCAGTTGCAGACATATTGGCGCCAAAATTGGAAAGATTTTCTTTGATAATTAGCGCCAGTAATTTCCCGCTCTTTAGAAAATGCGTGTAAATTATTTTGAAGTTTTCGCACCTTTTAAGGCACTGTTGAACGCCCCCCTTAGGACATATGAGACCAAAGCAAGGTAGCGCAAATGAATATTTTCTAGTTTTAATTTGTCTCATAAATGTTACCATTTCTTTTTCGGATTGAATTGAATTTAACAATCAGTTTTCACATATGTATGCCATGAGTTCCTCCTTGCCATTTATTCTTCCTTGTTTTTTCCCCTCTGTTCGTCCTTTTACAGCGTCTGTCTCCGATTGGTCAGATAACCATTGTTCTAGTTTATTTGGTGACAACACCCCATAGTCATACGTCTCGTCGAGTTCATTATCCAATTATGCCACGGGCGCATACATGCTGACTGCTTTGATCGGATTATTTGACGTTTGGATCAATTTATCTCAATGTCCTATCCTCTAGGATTCCTAAAAGGCCCTTGCCGCTAAATGACCCAGTGAGGCAGTTAGCAATTATCACTTAAGTGAGAATAAAATAGAACTTAATTTCTTCGAACTGTAGACCCAATCGCACTATCGCGATGTCCCTCCGAGGCAACTTTACATCCGTATAAAATTTTCGAGAACTTATGGTGACCTTAATTATTTTGCTATCAGTGAAGACTGTGAACCTAACGAAATTATACAATAGATCTACATCCACTACAATTGTCTTCCAGTATATGCACTCCTCGCTCCCGATCCGCGCGCCTTCTGCTTCAGAGATATTGTTGTGTAGCCTCCCGATTGTCCTTGACTGCCACTGGCTCTTCGCCACCTTCTATGAAGCTTTTTATCGTATTAGTCCTACGGACTTTTCATCGATGTTTTTGGCACGCATCCCCTAGAACTTCATTTGCAACGTTCTTGTCCGTTTTTGGAAATTTATCGCCCCTTTTGTACAATCTCACCACGTTGTTTAAAACTCTTACGACTCCCCATCACGTAGATCTCGTGTTCAATAAACTCAAAACATTGTTTAGGCTGTTGGATTTGTCTGGAATTAAAGTTGTCGTCTCTCCCTTTCTCTGTCTGTCTAGTTTTTTTGTTTTCGTCTTGCTTTTTTTATAGTCTCTCCTGTAACTAAATTCAATCTCTTTCTTTGCAACTAGTGTACTCTCCTCAAAACTTTTTTCATCTAAATTTGATCCAACTTCTCTTCTCTTCAAATTCTCATACACTGGATGCGTCTCAAACAGAACTTGGCCGTTCGTTTTGATGCGATGATTCATTACATTTTGTGCTAATTTTTCATTGTTAGTTTGTAAAATTGTCACTTATCATGTAAACTTGAACTTTTTCATTGTCAGTATGTCAAGTTGTCACTTAGATTGTAAACTTGTTCTGACGTAGATCGGGTTCGAGTAGATAGCGCTCATTGACAACATTTCGTTTCATACATAACTGGAAGAATTAAGACGGATCAGAACACACAACTCACGAATCTAAAATTAATGTATAAATGCGATTGGATATCTGAGAATTTAATCGGATTTCTGAAAAGTTATTGTGCTATTTCAGTTACTACTAGTCACAAAATTCAGTCAGCACCTAAAGCAATCTACGTAAACTGATCGTATTATGATGACCACTTTTGGCCAAATTGGGTATAAAAAAGCTGAAACCAAGGTCATACAATTCGCAAAATGAAAACTATAACTTATAAATTTTAAATCAGCGTCTGAAAAGCTTATGAACTTTGTTTCGATCAATCTTTTGACTTTTTTGTACTGTTTTTTGATAACCACAAAATTCAAAAGTCACGGCCTTGCTTTTTCTCGCTTTTAATTCTAGCGAGGTCATTCGAACGTCTTTGTACTAGTTAGAACATAGTTGAAAGATCGAAGGGAAAAAGAGCCCGGCCTGATGCACGAAGTGCCCGATGGCGGCTCTTTTTCCTGAGGCCATCTTCAACTATGTTCTAACTATTGAAGAGTATGTTTTTGCTCTTCCTGAGGGAAAAATGCCTGAAAATTAAGAAAGAGCCCGGAAAATTGTGAAAGAGCCGGAGAATTGCGCGAAACTATGCAATTGGTTTCTTTTTTCATTCATGCGTTCTAATATTTCATTTTTCATTCAT